GCAGAGAGCTGGATCAGAAGTGGAGCAGCCGGGACTTGAACTGGCGCCCATATGGGGTGCCGGCATTGCAGGCAGCAGCCTTTCAGCTATGCCACAGTCCCGGCCCCATCATTGATTTTCTATTTGACCAGACTTCTGCGGATGGGAGTGAGTGAGGGCTTTCTGAATGTTCACACGTCAGAGCTGAAACCTCAGGTCTCCACATGTGTAGTTTTACAGCCGCCTGTGCTATTGTGTGTGCTTCCTGGGTGTACATCAGGCACCCCATAAATGCACTGGCCATGGGTTCGGGTGGAGATGGGCCCTCAGAACTAACAGCATGAGGTTGGGTGGCTTTGTGGTTCAGGGTCTTGACTTCCTGTGTGTAAAGGGTGTTGTCACTTCTTTCCAGCTTCTGCTCTAACACGTCGCTTCTTCTGACTTGTTCATGGTCTTCTGCACAGGTTGGGTGCTCCCGATTTTCTGTGGACTGATAACTGTGTCCTGTTAGGCAGGAGATCAGGGAACGGTGCTGTCTTCCTGGGTGCTGTCATCCTCTGTCACCCATGGGATGTGACACAGTTGGTTCACAGGTGTTAGGCATCATGGCATTTTTGGAAAAAATAAATATAATGATGGGATTTTCCCAACAGGTATTTTATTTAAACTTTAGTTTTGTTTTAAAAAAAAAAGAAGTACAAGAGGAGCTGGACACAGGAGGTCACAGAGTGTATGGTCAGTTCAGAGGAAATACCCAGGACGCGTAGAAGCATCCATGCGGACCTCAGACTGCTGCCGCCAGTGCTCTGGGGAGGAGGGGGGAGGGGACCGTGTACGGGGAGGGTTTCTGCCCGGGTGACGACCATGCTCTCGGATTGCACAGTGGTCTCGTCCCCAGCAGTGTGGGGGGTAAATGTCACTCGAGTGGGGACCTGCGTGCCCTGCGGCTTTGATCTCAGGGAAAACCTGCGTATGTGACACGGTGGCGAGCAGCCACGGTGCAGAGCGGCTCTTTGTCCCGTCCCGCCGCCAGTCTTTCTTCTCTGCTGGAGCTGTTGATTCCGGCTGGTTTCCACCCGTGGTGCCTGTCCACTGCCAGCCTCCCTCCCACCCCTCGCCACACTTTCTAAGTGGAAAATACTGCATTGGCTGTGTGGAGATTGTTTTGCTTCTCAGCCCTTACAAGTCGACCCTATTCCTTTTCAAAAATCACATAATCAAAGGAGTTGCTTTCTGAGTTTTTCTTCTAAAGATTTATTTGAAAGAGTTACAAAGGGAGAGGGAAAGACAGTGGATGGACGATCTCTCTGTTTCTCTGTAACTCCGCTTTTCAAATCAATTTTAAAAATAAATAAATAATCTAAAAAAGTACCTAAAATATGCTGAGATAATAAGGCTTATAGGTACTATTTCCAAGCCAGATCTAATATAAAAAAGGCAGAATATTATCAGATTAAGTTGGAAGGAGACCAGGAAAGGAGGTGCCACAGACCTGGTCAGCCTGTATCTCATATACTGATTGGTCAGATTCTGATGCGCAGGACACTTTGAATCTGTAGCAGTTGTGGTTTTGATTGCCACTTTCCCTGGTACCTTCTGTGGCTTCTCTATTCTCTGAAAAAAAAAATGTATTTATTTATTTATTTGAAAGGCATAGATACAAAGAGGATAGATTTCTTCCAACTGCTGGTTCACTCCCAAAATGGCTGCAACAGCTGAGGCTGGGCCAGACCAAAGCCCGGAGCTTCTTTTGGGTCTCCCATGTGGGTGAAGGGGTCCAAGCAGTTGGGCCATCTTCTGCTGCTTTCCCAGGTGCATTAGCAGGGAGCTGGATCAGAAGTGGAGCACGTGGGACTAGAACTGGTGCCCATGTGAGATGCCAGCATTGCTTTACCTGCTACACCACAATGCCAGCCCACTTTCTGAGTTTTTAGCATCGGTGTGCCTTTTATCTCACTTTTTAAAAAAATATTTATTTTTATTTATTTGAAAGGCAGAGTCACAGAGAGAGAGGTAGAGACAGAGAGAGATCTTCCAACTGCTGATCTACTCCATAAAAGGCCCCAACTGCTGCGGCTGGACCAGGCTGAAGCTAGGAACCAGGAGCTTCTTCCAGGTCCCCAATGTGGGTGCAAGGGTCCAACCACTTAGGCCATCTCCCACTGATTTCCAAAGTGCATTATCAAGGAGCTGGATCAGAAGTGGAGCAGCTGGGACTCGAACCCTGGGTCCCTATGGGATGCCAGCGCCGCATGTCTGGGCTTCAACCTGCTGCCCCGCAGCGCCACCCCATCTCACCCTGCTAAGCTTTCTTCTCCCATGGTGATGCCTCTGCTCTATTTATTTTAATTTTTTTTAATTTTTTGACAGGCAGAGTGCACAGAGAGAGAGAGAGACAGAGAGAAAGGTCTTCCTTTTGCCATTGGTTCACCCTCCAATGGCCGCTGCGGCCGGCGCACCGCGCTGATCTGATGGCAGGAGCCAGGTACTTCTCCTGGTCTCCCATGGGGTGCAGGGCCCAAGGACTTGGGCCATCCTCCACTGCACTCCCTGGCCACAGCAGAGAGCTGGCCTGGAAGGGGGGCAACCGGGACAGAATCCGGCGCCCCGACCGGGACTAGAACCTGGTGTGCCAGCGCCACAAGGCAGAGGATTAGCCTAGTGAGCTGCTTCGCTGGCCCGATGCCTCTGCTCTAACAAGCTCTGCATTTTGTCCTGAATTCAGTATCCAGGTGGGTAAATCAGTTGGTCCTCTGGGAATGGCTTTAAGGCTCTGCCTTCATGTTTGTGAGTGATTTCTTAGAATCAGGAGGGAGGTAGGAATTCGCCAAGTATCTTTTTTCACCACAAGGAATTTTAAAGACTCATTCAGCTGATAACAGGAGCGGATGGGTGTGTTCCGGAGCTGGCGCTGGACAGAGACCTCCACTGCAGAAGAGAGGCAGCCAGCAGGGGTGTGGCAGCCACAGGTGTGGGCCCTGTGTTGGGAGAGCACAACTCATAGTCCAGGAGGCGTGGCAACAGACAGGGCTTTCCTGAGGCCACACAAGGCTGCTATTCATGGGAAAGTCAGCCCCGTCACATGTGTGCAGCCCTCCTGGGTGTCCTGGGTGTCTCCGTGGTCTCCTCCTGTCCAGGCATTGCGGCCCAGGTGCCAGCCTCACACCTCTGCTGCTCTCTGCCTTTGACACTCAGGCAGCTCGGAAACCTGGAAGCATCTTTGCCTTCTCTCTCCCTTCCCCTCCCTCCCTGCCTCCCACCCCCTCTCCTTCCTGACACTGTTTCTGGATCTGTCTTCAGAATCCACCTGAGCCCTGCCTCCTGCCTGTCACCACCACCTCCCCGTTAGCTGAACTTGCTCTTGTCCATCCACTCTCAGGGTCTCACCAAAGATGTCACCACTTCTGAAAACAGCGCTCCCTGGGGCCGGCGTGGGGTGCAGTGGGCAGGTGGCTGCTCGGGGAGCTACAGCCCGCACAGAAACGCCTGGGTCCAGTCCAGTCTTCTCTGCTCCCCTTTCTGCCACCCACATGGGAGTCCTGCATGGAGTTCCAGGCCCCTGGCTTTGGCTTGGCCCAGCCCTGGCTGTTGCAGGCATTTGGGGAGCGAACCAGTGGATGCAAGATCTCTCTCTGTCTTGTGTTTCAAATAAAATGAAAATAAATCAAAACTTAAAAAGTAGCACCCATTTCTTTATCTGCTTCTGATTTATGATAGCTTTTCTCACTAATGTATCTATGTATATAGATACATATTATATGTATATGTATGTATACGTATTATATATGTATGTATCTATATATATGTGTGTGTGTGTGTGTGAGTACTGAGACTCCCAAGCTCTGAAGGCTTTGAGTGGCCCAGCCCTGCTCCTTGGTCTTAAGCCTCCTCTGTTTGGTCCTTCCAGCCCCTCGGAGTTTGGGGCATTTGTTGGCAAGGCTCCGTCTTGGTCATAACTCAGCAGCAGGGCCCTTCTGTGAGCTGCTCTACATCGGCCTGCGAGAGAATTGAGTGGAGAAATGTCTCTGCTGAAGGTGCACGCAGGAGCCTGCCTTTCGTGGGTTACCCGAACCGTTCAGGCCTCGCTTCCAAGTGCCGGTGGCTGCGCGGCTTGCAGAAAGGGTGGGAGAGACGAGCTCTGTGGAGGCTTCCTGGCAATCAGGAAGGCCCCTGCTGTAGCAAGCATATCGCATTGGCTCCGACGGCACAGCGTTAGTGTCACTCTAAATCACCCAGGGGTTCACGAGTAGGGGTGCAGATTCCGACATCGGCTGAGCCTGAAGCGGACCCCACGTGCTACTCCTCTTGGTCTCACGCCTGCCGGTGTCTCGCCGGTGTGGCGAGGGCACGAAAAGGTGGAGGAACGGATGCCTGTTTTCTGCTCACACCTGGTGCCCACACAGTGTATGTTCTGTGAAAGCCGGCCCTGTTCCTACTTGCACCAGGACGGGGCAGGACACAGGAAGTGGACCGACTGCCGCGTGCTGTGCTCACCGTGCTACAAGGGCCGGCACTTTCTCGCTGATTGGCAGGTGCTGTGGCTGGAGGCTGAACATCAGAAACATGGGGGCACAGAGTCTGCAGCCTGCCCACGGGTGCTGAGGCAGTGCAGGCATAGACCAGCCCTGGGGCGGCTTGGGCTGCTGGGAAGGTGGGGCCGTGCCGCCTCCACCAGCCTGAGAGCCACACGGGCTCCGGGCAGGCACGCCCCTGGGCAGGGAGCTGTGTGGGCAGCCTCTGTCTTCATACACCACCTTCCAGTGCAGCTCCGGAAGCTTCCTGCTGCCAGTGCACCTGCCGAGCGGAGCTCGTTTCTTCCTGCTATTCTGGTTCTGTTTGCAGGCTCCTGTCTCCGGGAGAGCTGGCACAGTCCGAGTAAGAGACACTGTATTGTCTTCTGCTTGAAGAATTGGGATTTGTTACCCAGCGAAGGCAGATGAGAGATTTGCAACCAAGCGGATGGCGTTTTTTGTTGCTTGGTAATGCTTGGGACCCAGCGGAAGAAGCTTTCTGGAGGCCAGAGGCTTGCTGTGTGTGGGGCCAGGTGGGTCTGTGGGTGTGGCCGGGGCGCTCAGCCCTGAAGGCTTTGGCCTTGAGCAGCCGGGTCAAGAGCCCTGCAAGACGGTCAGCACTTCCAGGCTGCCTGTGTGCAAGGCTTGTGGTCTTAGTGAAGGAGCAGGAGGAGGAGCATCTGCCAGGGCGGCCTGGGGGTCTCTCCACCAGGTGTGCTTCCTGTGGGGCTGCCCCGGGACCCTGCTCTGGAGACCAGGATGGTCCCACAGAGGCAGGACGGGAAACAGAAAGACGGGTGATGTTGTGCTTTGCTCCCTCATCAGAGAGGCCTAAAAATAGAGTCCAGCTACCGGGGCTGCAATCCTGGTGAGCTGAAGCTATGTAGGAGGAGAGAACGTTGTGAGGGTCGCGTGCAGTCTTGCCTTCCTCCTCTGTGTTTCTTTCTTTCTTCTCTCCTCTCCTTTCTTTCCTTCTTTCCTCCCTCCCTCCTTCCTTCTCCCTTCCTCTCCCCCCTCCCTTCCTCTCTCCTTCTGTCCCCTCCCCTTCCCTTCCCTCCCCCCACCCATGTGTCTAAATAGTAGTTGCATTGAGATATAATTCACACAGCATGCAAGTTGTGGTTTTAAATGTTCCATCCCATGTTTTTTTTTCTAGCATATTCTGAGCTGTGTAGCCATCGTCTTTCCTGAGCGTTTTCGGTTCCCCTTCAGAAAGCCCTGTGCCCGAGAGCCCTCACTCCTCCTCCTCCTGTGCTCTGAGCCTCTGCGGTCCGGGTCCGGCCTCGCTCTCCTCTGTGTGGATCTTTCTGTCCAGGACATTCCTCCGGACGTTCCGTGCCCTCTGTGGTTTTCTCTCCCGGAATACCTTCCCTTCGCTCGATGGTCCCATGGTTCATCTGTGATGTAGCATGAACCAACTCACTGGGCCTTTTTTTTTCTTTAAAGATTATTTTGTATTTATATGAAAGGCAGAGTTATAGTGGGTGGGGGACAAGGCGGGGGTGGGGTGGAAATCTTCCATCTGCTGGTCCCAAATGGTCACAGCAGCCAAGGCTGGGCCTGGCTGAAGCCAGGAGCCAGGAGCTTCTTCCAGGTCTTCCACGTGGGTGCAGGGGCCCAAACACGTGGGCCATCCTCTGTTGCTTTCCCAGGCCATTAGCAGGGAGCTGGATGGAAGTGGAGCAGCCAGGCTGCTGCTGGTGCCCTATGGGATGCAGGCATTTTAGGCGGCGGCTTTACCCTCTATGCCACAGCGCTGACCCCAAAGTAGTACTTTTTACCGGCACCTCCATTGCATGGGTTTTCTACGTTTGTAAAACACATTCACCAGTTGATGGACATATGGGTCTTTTCCATTTTGAGCTATGAAGAGTAATACAGTTATAGCACTCACTCATGTATAAGTTTTGATATAAAGATACATTTCAGTTCTCTTGGGGAGTGTGTGTTGTGGGAGGGATATGGTATGTGTAGGTGTGGGGTGTGCATGGTGTGTGTGTGTGGTATGTGGGGGTGTGTGTGGAGTATGTATGTCCAGCGTGTGTGGTGTGTATGTATGGTGTGATGTGCATGTGTGTGATATGTGTATGTGACGATTGTGGTGTGTATGTGTATGTGGTATGGTGCACATGTGTATGGTGTGTGTATGTCTGGCATGTGTATGTTTGTGTGGTATGGATGTGTGCTATGTATGTATATGTGTATATGTGGCATGTATGTATTGGCGTGTGGCACGCACATGGTGTATAAGCATGTGTGGGATATGTATGTATGTGGTATGTCCAATGTGTGTGATATATATGCATGTATCTGTGTGTAGGTGTGGTTGGTGTGTGGCATGTGAGGTGTGCATGGTTTGTGTGTATGTGTAGTGTGCATATACATGTGAGCATGTTTATGTGTGGTATGTATATGTGTGTGTGTGGTGTATATATGTGTGTATAAGTGTATGTGGTACATGGTGTGTGTATATGCGGTGTGTATGGTGTGCATGGTGTATATGTGGGGTGTGGTGTCTGTGTGGTATGTATGTATGTGTGTGATGTATGTGATTGTGTCATGTGCATATATTTATATGTATGCATGTGTATGTCATGTTTGTGGTGTGTGAGATGTGTGTGATATATATATGTGTGCTATGTATGTATGTGAGTGTGTGTGTATGGTATGGTGTAGGTATTTGTGTATGTGTGTATGAAATGTGTGTATGTATATATATGAGGTGTGTGTATGTGTGTGATATGTGTGATGTGTATGTGTGTATATGTGAGTGTGTGTGTGTGATGTGTGTGGGTTTATGTGATGTGAGGTGTGTGGTGTGGCATGTATGTGTATGTGTGTGGTGTGTGTGTGAGATGTGTGTATGGTATGGTGTGTGTGTATGTGTATGTGTGAGATGTGTGTGTGAGATATATGTGTGTATGTATGTGAGATGTGTGTATGGGATGGTGTGTATGTATGTGTATGTGTGAGATGTGTGTGTATGTATGTGTGTGGTGTGTGTGTGAGATGTGTGTATGGCATGGTGTGTATGTATGTGTATGTGTGACTTGTGTGTGTATGTATGTGAGATCTGTGTGTATGTATGTGTATGTGTTTGGTGTGTGTATGTGTATGTGTGGTGTGTGTGTGAGATGTGTGTATGGCATGGTGTGTATATATGTGTATGTGTGAGATGTGTGTGTATGTATGTGTGTATGTATGTGAGATGTGTGTATGGCATGGTGTGTATATATGTGTATGTGTGAGATCTGTGTGTATGTATGTGTATGTGTTTGGTGTGTGTATGTATGTATGTGTGTGAGATGTGTGTATGGCATGGTGTGTATATATGTGTATGTGTGACTTGTGTGTGTGTGTATGTGTGTATGTATGTGAGATGTGTGTATGGCATGGTGTGTATGTATGTGTATGTGTGAGATCTGTGTGTATGTATGTGTATGTGTGGTGTGTGTGTGAGATGTGTGTATGGCATGGTGTGTATGTATGTGTGTGTGTGACTTGTGTGTGTGGGAAGTGCGTGTGCTTGCTCAGGGGTCAGGTTCTCCTGTGGACCTGAGTCCCCTGGGGCCAGGCTGGACCCGACTGTGACCTGGGGCCGTGTGTGACCTGGATTGTGTGTGTTGATGGAGTTACCTAACCTCTTGGTGGAGTTTACTTTCTTTAACCTGAGAAACCTCAGTTCCCTCTCCAGCGAGTGTGTATTTTGCTTGGCAAACGCTGAATCTGATAAGACTTGCGCTCATAGTGTCACCAGCCTCCGCTTTGGGCTGGAGTCTGAGAGGCGGGTGCTGGGACGATTCCTGGTGCGCTTGGCTTCACACTCCTGCCCGCGCCTTTCCCTGACCGCTGGTGCTTTCTCTCGCTTCCTAGGTGCCTGGTCCCTCGCAGAGTGTGATACATTCCCGCCTGGACTGGAGGGATCCCTGGCGCCAGGGCTGGTTTCCCACCTGTCCCCATGGCCGCCTGACACTGGGACGAGCCGGCTGAATGACGCAGGGCTTGGCCCGAAGACAGTTCCTCTGCTCCCCTCTGGACTTTCCTGAGGTAACCTTGAATTTGGAAAACGAAGGCTTGGAAACCTTCCACTGTTGTTTCTCAGTGGAATTTCAGGCCATTGTGGAGAAAACACACAGGTGTGCCCAGATGGATTGTCCTGTGGTTCCTAACCCTCGTCACACACCTCGTCACACATCCTTTGGTGCACTCCCCAAATGGCCACAACATCCAGAGTTGGACCAGGTGCAAGTCGGGACCCAGGAGCTCCGTCCTGGTCTCCTGGCCTGGGTGTCAGAGCCGAGAACTTGGACCCTCATCCCCTGCCTTCCCAGATGTGTTAGCAGGGAGCTGGGGCAGAGGCAGAGCAGGTGGGGCTGGCGCTCCAGTGTGGAATGCCGTCATGGCAGCCAGTGGCTTGCTTAACCCTTTGTAGCCCAGCTCCAGCGCCGGGGTGAGTTTTGAGGATGTCCTCAGGACCTCATAGTAAACGGTTGCAGTGACTGGTGATTTACAAAGATCTCTACGGTTCTTCATTTATGGCTTTGCTGGTCTTGTGTTAGAGACAGGAAACACGAGTGGGAGGTCACACTGAGCTATGATGAGGCTCGTGCCTTGCTCACTGAACACCTGTTGCCTGGGCTCCCGTGTTGTGCCGGGCACTTTTCCAGCTCGGGACTCGTGGGAAGCCCAGTGGCACAGGTGCCTGCCCACAGGGGGCCTCGCCTCTGTCTCGGGGGACGCCAGCAGGGGTGGGTTGGTGTGAGAGGGCAGGTGCAGCGACCAGTGCCGCCGCATGAGAAGTAAATGCTGTTCTGTGAGAAGGCACCGGTGCCGTGGAGGAAAGAGAAGGGAGATCAGGCTTGCCTGGGGCGGGGGCGGGGCAGGTGCTGAGTGGTCAGACGGGCGTCTGTAAGCAGTCGCATTTGAACGTGGACTTAGGAGTTCCAGGAAGCAGCCACTTAGCCTGTGGGCAAGAGCACAGAGGCAGGGGAGGTGCAGAGGCCCTGGGCTGAGCATGGTGGGTGCCATGGAGGCAGGAGTGTGTGGGGTGCAGGGAGCTGGCTTGTCTGGCATTGCCGCTGTTGGGGCGGTCCTCGGGGTTTTCAACAGAGGAGGGACTGGATCTGCCTTCCGTTTTCATAGGCTCATGTGCTGTGAATAGGCTGTGTGGTGGGGGCAGGGCTAGAGCAGAGTCCAGGATCCCATCTCAGAGACCGCTGGACACGTCCACCGGGGTGATTCGGGCAGTGATGCGTGACCCTCTGTGGCAGTGCAGCCGGTGAGAAGTGGCCACACTTGCATGGAGTTTGGAGAGGGTGCCCTTCGGGTCCTCTGCGTGAGAGCTTGTGGGAGCGGGGTGAGAAAAGGAGAAAGTCCATGGGGTGCCAGGACTCTGGTGTGAGTGACTGCAGAGTGGTCGCCCCACTGGGTGCAGGCGGAGACGCCAAGGTTGAACCTGGGAAGAGTGTGAGGTGCCCAGGAGGAGGTGTGGAGCTGGAGCTATGTCCGCATCGAAAAATGTACAGGACGCGGTGGGCGTCTTGGCCTGTGGTTGGCGTCGGGTGGAAGGCGGTCAGCTGAGACCTCTGTAAGAGAAGGGTTCACAGGCTGATCCTGGGCCGGGGAAGAGGCTGCCAGCAGAGCAGACAGAGAGGGAACGGCCATATTGGGGGGGGGAGGCAGGAGGTGGCAGGAAGTCGTCTCAGGAAGCGGTGTGAGGCTGACGCCTGGGCTGTGCCATGGGGGCCACGTGGCTTTGGGGAGGGCAGTTTGGGTTTTGATAGGAGGGCAGCAGGCAGGGGAGGAAGGGGGACAGGTTGTGGACAAGTATATATCATTTCCCAGTGACATAGGATGCTGGTGACCAGCTATGGCGCTGTGGAGAGGAAGCATTGTGTCTGCAGGACTTGGGGGTGGGGAGCCCTCCAGAGAGGGGCTTGTGCAGGGGTTGCTGGGCCACAGGAATGGCCCGTGAAGCTTGGAGCCCCATGTGAAAGACATCACTTGGGTTCTGCTGTTTCCCCAGGCTTATCAGCTGGGACTTGCATTGTCAGCAGAATGGAGCGAGCCCTTGGCCAATCAGAGAGTGACAGAGAGAGAGAGGGGCCCAAGCTGGTGGTGCATGCCAGAGAGAAACAAGGCCCATTGCAGAGGGGCTAGAGGTGGTGCAGGGAGGAAAGAAGGCGATTGGGTTGGGTGGTCAGATACTTGGAGCTCAAGGCCCTGGAGGACCTGCGGGGGGGCTGCCCTGTAGCTGACACATGCAGCTGGGAATTCGGGCATCTGCAGGAACCCAGGGCTCCAGCGTTGCTCTCCCCGACTCCAGCTCCATGTCCAGCTGCCTCGCTCTTTCATTGGCCAGCACTGTCCACCACATGCCTGCTGTGCCCTTAGGGTAAGACCTGGAACTCATGCATTTCTGTGCTGAGTCACTGCTCAGGAACATGGCGGCGAGGAGGAAGGTTGACATTCGCGCCTGCTCTTCTTCCTCTTGTAGTCCATGGCCCACATGTACATTATAAACTTGATGTACCTATTGTTTTCAAACTTGACTTTACCCTTGTAGGACCCTGCGTCTGTCCCCGCATTGCGTCTGTCCCCGCAATGCACGGCCAGGTGCAGAGAGGCCTGGGGCCCCGCAGGCACACAGGGACACCTTGAAGCACGTGGGATAATGCCCTACAAGCCCGCCTGGAACTCTGCATTCTTTCCTGCGTCTGTGCACAGGCCGTGCTGTTTGGGAATCTGGTCTCCAGCACATTCCAAGAACGGTGACACGGCTTCCTATTCACAAAGGATTCGTGTCAAAGGGGACGAAATGCCAGAGAAAGACATTCCAGCCCAGGCACAGCTATTTTTAGGGGTTTAGGATTTGTAAAGGGAAACGGTGTCCCTGGACTGGAAACCGCCCCCCCATTCGCACATCTGTGATTGGAGTTGCTAAATCTGAAAGACAGTGTTGTGCTCTGTTTTCTTTTTTCCCCCAAGTGCAGAATATCATTTTTTTTTTTAAATCTCTGGCTAAGAAACTTGGACTCGTCCTTGGCTGTCCTTCAGCTCTGGGAATAGCAGTGTTGGGAGGGCTGCAGCTGCTGTCTCTGAGCCCAGGCTTTGGGCGCCTGGGCCTCTAGGGCAAAGGTCATTGTCAAGGGTGAGCTGGACACGCAGCTGTCGGCCCCCAGCTCCCATCCCCAGTAGCTTCAGGGCTGCAGATGGGGAGAAACGCGTGATGTTTTCAGAACTGAGTGTGGTTGGCGGTGCCCTGCAGGGCTGCAGCGGCTGCTGCCCTTGTTCAGAGAAGCCACAGCAGCCGCGCTCTCCACGTTTGGATCAGTTACGGTTTTCTGTGCTTGCTGCACTCTGGGCTACTTTCATATATGTCCTGTGACGTCATGTATGTGGGGTGGTGGCCAGTCCGTCGCAGGTGAGTCTCCCAAAGTCCTCCTGGCGTGTTCCTGGGATGGCGTTGATTTCTTCCCAGGGGAGCATGTGTTTGTACAAGGTCATGGGTGCTCTCAGGATAAATGCTCAGAGTACGTTTCTGGTCCAGTAATGTTAACAAGCAGCGGCGTAGGCTCCAGGCTGCAGAGGGTGAGCACAGGCCAGGGCGAAGCTAAGACAATCCAGCATGGCTGCCGGGGGGCAGGGGGACACCTTGGACAGCAGTGCTGGGGCCAGCTGGGCTGAGCCTGACTGTGGGCAGCCCGAGGCATGTGAATCTACCCTGTGGGTGCAGAGAGCCAGGAGGCCAGGGAGAGGGGGCCAGCAGAAGTGCTGCGTGGGTGTTGTGCACACAGATGAGCTTGAGAGCAGTGGAGAGGCCTGGACGGGAAACTGGGCCCACGCCACCTACCAAAAATCAATGCATTTTTTTCTGAATGCTAACACAGGGTTGCACAGGTACACACACACACACATTGGCCAAAGAATGCCATGCCTTCTCTCATGTGTACAGTTTGTGAATAACTCCTAATGTGGCCATGTCCCACATTGTTCTGCAATATCTATGAGAAGACCTCTCCATTGGCAGAATTCAGATCCAGTTCAGTGACCTCCATTTCATTTTAACCTTGACTTTAGTGATTGTGCTGATCTACTCTATGAGTTGTATTCTGTGACTTCTCAGAGTTTTTAATAGTACTCCTAGAGACAGAATATAAATGTATGTAATGTGTCATAATGCATGTAAATATATTTATACTAAATATAAACATTGTTGAGAATTTAAACGGAATTTAAAGTGAGGTTAAGCACCTCACTTAAGTCTGATTGGCTGATTGATTTGACAATGAAAATCTCCTTTTCTGCTCAGGTTATTGGAATGACTTAAATATGTCTATAATATTGACAGACTTGCAATTGGGGTCATGTGTTTTAATAACAACACATGTTAATACTCTCTTTTTTCAAACACTGGAGTATTTTTGCTTGAACAAGTTACCTCTAAGAGAAAAAGATTTGGGTGCAGTGAAATTATTTGCCAAGTTTTTTTTTTTTTTTTTAAAGATTTTTGTTTTAAAGTGATTTATTTGAGAGGCAGTTACAGACAGAGAGAGGGAGAGGCAAAAAGGTCTTCTATCCACTGGTTCACTCCCCAGAAAGCTACAATGGCTGGACCTGGGCCAATCTGAAGCCAGGAGCCAAGAGCTTCTTCAGGGTCTCCCATGTGGGTGCAGGGGCCCAAGCACTTGGGCCATCTTCTGCTTTCCCAGGCCAGAAGCAGAGAGCTGGATCAGAAGAGGAGCAGCTGGGACATGAACTGAAAACCATATGGGATGCTGGTGCCGCAGGCAAAGGCTTAGCCTATTGTGTATGCCACAGCACTGGTCTCTTTGCCAAACTTTGGAATGGTGTTAGGATGAACTTCCCAGAAACCCAGCCCTGAATGACGGATGTCTTGGTATTAAATTCCTGTGCAATTCTGGTGGTTTCCAAAGCTGTTCATTTGTGGGGAGATCTGCTGATTCAGTTGTTAGCTGGCCACGGAAATTCATCTCCATTCTATTACTTTTATTATGTGATTTTTGCCATATGTGCGGAAAAAGTTG